GGCTGGCCTCCAGGGGGAGCCCCCCTGCCAGTCCCCCACCCCCACTCCGCCACAGAGGTCACTGTTTGCACTGTACTGTCCCCTCTCCAGCGACTGACTCCCATCGTCACACTTGCCTTTAGAGATAATCACCAGAAGTGCGTCCCAGGTACTGGGCACAATTACAGTAGCCATTATTAATAAATACCCCTGGCTTTAGCTGTCTTCTCCTCTGTGGTTCTCAAAGTGTGGTACGCAGACCATCAGCATCACCTGAGAACATGTCAGAAATGTGGAAACTAGGGATGTGGCCCAAGCACCTGCATTTAACAAGCTCCCCAGGCAATAACGATGCACGTGCTCCAGATTGAGAGACATATTCTTGAATGAGGTTTACAAACGTGTGGCCAGAAGCCGACCGGAAGAGACGCTGTGCAGTCAAACAGGTTTGGGAGAAACAGTCTCCCCTCAGCAGGTCCAACACACACCGCACAGTAAAGGCTGACAGCTCCACAATAAAGAAACCTGTCTGACGTGCTCAAACCCTGGGTTCTCCAAGTTTATCTGACCACAGCATCTTTTTCTGAGTGACAGCTGGTAGGAACCGTGGGCGTTGAGACCTGTTGGCCTGAAGGCCTCTTCTGGTGGTGGCATTTGGTGGATCCTAACGACACTAATCAGAGCTGGAAGGTCCCCAGCCGGCCGGCGCCCTGGATGTCCAATCTGTAAGGAGCTACCCTTCCCTCGTGCGGATGCTGTACCTGCATGCTCGCTTCCCCAGCTCCCCATTCAGAACCAAGCTCGCGGGCCCTGAGACTGCTGCGGGCTGGAGCCCACTGCTGCGGCCACTCACACTCAGCCAACTCTGCCCTCACTCGGCTTAGGGATGGTCACTGTTGAACACCACAAAGGAAGCCCGTCAGCCCCACAGCAAACTCCGCTGAAGGTTGTCGGGCTGAGGGAAAGGCCACCAAGCCAGATGTACACATGCTCTGATCCAAGAAACTCTGCTCACCAAACAGACTGGAGTGATGATTTGTAATATAATAAAGATGAAACGCTTTGTGGGACTAATTATAGGGTTCGTTTAAATAGCAACCCCATTTTTAATACCGCATTCACCCAACTGGAAGAACACTTTGGGAATTTGTATCAAGAAATGAGGCCCACTGACGATCACTCTGTAAGGGAACTTCCACCCCAACCCCAATGCCCTCTGCCCCTTTCCTAACAGACACAGAGGGCATGCAGTGCCATCAGCATCCTTCACTACTTGTCTGGCACCTAATCGTCCTTGCCTCAGGCAATTAAACGGGTTGCCACTGTCTAGGCATATTGTCACGTCTTACATGAATTGGTTCCAAGGTTATCTACCATCTTATCCCTGGCTGACTATACTCAAAGCCATGCTGTAGCCCAGCCCTGTGCTCCTGCCCACCTCCCAGTCTGAATGGTGGGACATTGCTGAGGTCTGAGCCTGGGCAGGAGCGAGATCTAGACCCCAAATGCGAGGCCCTAGGCCTGTGAGCACCTGCTGAGACCAGTGAGGCTTGGCTAATGAAACATAAGCCCTCAGGGATAACCTTCTCTTCTGGGCTTTTAGACTCTAACCTGTCTGTCCTGAGCACAAGCCAGGCTCTTATTTCCAAACAGGCATGTGAAATGTGCTCAGACATCCCAGAAGTTCACGCAAGACGCGGCTCGGGTCGAGGCACCCAGGCATGTAACACCCTGTGTCAGATAAAGTCCGTCGTGGTTGCCTGTCATCCATATTTAATTGTGTCAGTCTGTTAATTTTTAACTATGTTTGCGATTGAGGGCCATTAGAGGTGTCCAGGAGCTGAGCTCAGTGAAGCGAGAAGAACTTGGAGCAGCGTGGCTGCGGCTTGAAGCTGGGGCGTCCCCTTTCCCACCCTTCACCGAGCCCAGGCCTTCCCCGCCAGCAGCAGAGCCTGAATAAAACATGATCCCATCTGGAGCTGCTTTTCCTTTCTGCCCCTGTCACAACTGGTTAACTTCAGGGAAAAGTTCACTTTCTTTTTATGAAGGATATGTTTTATCATTGCAAAGTTTTTTTGCAGCCTTGGCTTTGTTGCCAAAGCAGTTAGCATGCTCTCTGGGTGCCTATTCCTATGAAACAAGGCCTGAAACCCTGGGTGGACGGCCCCCTGCCTGAGGCAGCGCCTCCCCTCCACACACACCACAGCCACCGGCACCATCAAGTTCTGACAAAAAGAAGAGCGATTTTAATCATCACTAGGCTACGCCAAGCATTGTACTCTTTCCCACAAAATAACCCCCTGAAGTAGGTGTTCATTCTTCCTTACAGATGAGAAAACCGAAGCTCGGAGAAATGTAAAAAAGCCTGCTGCCACCCAAAGTTAGCAGAATGGGTGGAAAACCTCGTTAAAACGGGACTTTTTGAAGTAAAGGCCTGCGGCCCTGTGAGCTTTGCACTGGGCCGCTGCGCCATCCTGTGCCGGTCAGACCTGCCTCTGTTAACAGTCCCCGTCTGTCAGAGGCGGGCTCACTGAGACTCAGAGATGGGCTTTTACGGGCAGTGAGGTCATGCAACAGACCAAGGATCTAAGGAGCTTCGCCTCACAAAGGACCAAGTGGAACCTGCCCAAGAAACCTGGGAAACAGCGCACCGACGGAGGCCACCCTGCTGCCCGGTCAGGGCAGGTCCACTTTGAGCTATTCTCGCACCTGGGTCAGCGACGCCGGACAGGGCACCCAGGGGATGGACTTGTTTTGGAACAGGTACTGCCAAAGGCTGCCCAGCGTGGGCAAGTCCGGCCTCCGTAGCCGCAGCTCTGCCAAAGGCACGACGACTCCAACAACACTGGATGGAGATGAGCCCCGCGAGGCAGGGCCGATGCCGATGTCTCCAAATGCCAAGCAGAGGGGAAGGGACAGACAGGACGAGAAGGTATTTGCTGGGCTAGGAGTGGATCCCCTGGGGTTCAACCACAGGACCGTGAGGAGAATTACAAGGCACAAGATGTAACTCCACCCCCCTGGAAACGAGGCTGGTGGA